ATCCGAACTGGTGAACCCCGGGCCGCCGCAGCGGAGTGCGCGCGCTTAACTGCTTGCGCCACCGGGCCGGCCCCGAAAGGTTCTTTTTTAATATGTGTGTGTATACGCATGTCATATATGTGTATACAGTCATGGGCCACATAACGACGTTTCGGTCAATGGCAGACCGCATATACGACAGTGGTCCCATAAGAATAGTACCATATAGCCTAGGTGTGTAGTAGACTGTCCATCTAGGTTTGTGTAAGTACACTCTATGATGTTCGAACAACCACAAAATCACCTAACGATGCATTTCTCAGAACATATCCCCATTGTTAAGTGATGCATGACTGTAGTATATATATAAAACAAATTCATATAAATTGATAAAATCTGTAATGCTCCAATTGACAGATGGACAATCTGAATCAACAGATCACAAAAGAGGGATTATATATGGTTAGCAAACAGGAAGAGATATTCAACCATAGTATAAATGAAAGAAATGTAAATTAGAATGATATATCAAATTAGCAAAGATCAAAAAAATTATGTGGGTGCTAGAGATGAAAAGGTGAAACAGATACTTTCAGTGTTGATGAATGTATATTTCTGAGATCCTGCATTCAGTTTTTAGGGGTATACAGTCAGAAGTGAAATGGCTGTGTCATATGGTAATTCCATTTTTAATTTTTTGAGGAAATGCCAGTCTTCCATAGCAGCTGCACCATTTTACATTCCCACCAACAATGTACAAGGGTCCTAATTTTTCCACACCCTCAGCAACACCTGTTATTTTCTGGAGTTTTTTTGATAGTAGCTTTCCTAATAGGTTATGAGGTGATATCTCGTGGTTTTGACTTGCATCTCCCTAATGATTAGCGATGTTGAGCATCTTTTCATATGCTAATTGGCTATTTCTATGTCATATTTGGTGAAATGTCTATTCAAATCCGTTGCCCTTTTTTTAATCAGTTTTTTTTATTATTGAGCTATAAGAGTTCTGTATATATTCTGCATATTAACCCCTTGTCAGATACATGATTTGCAATTATTTTCTCCCATTCCATAGGTTGTCTTTTCATTCTGTTGATTATGTCCTTTAATGCATTCAAGTTTTCAATTTTGATTTAGTCCAATTTGTCTATTTTTTACTTGTGTTGCCTGTGCTTTTGGGGTTATATCCAGGAAGTCCTTGCCAAATCTAATGTCAAGAAGTTTTTCCCCTATGTTTTCTTCTAAGAGTTTTCATAGTTTTAGGTCTTATGCTTAGGTCTTTGATCCATTTTGAATTAATTTTTGTATATGGTCTAAGACAAGGGGCTTCTTCATTTTTAGGAACTATTGAACTGGGAGTGTAAATTGATACTACTACTTGGGAGATATACAGCAGTATCAATACTAACTGAAAATGCATACTTTATGACCACACAATTACAATTCTAAGTATGCACACTAGAGAAACTCTTGCATATGTATATAAGCATTCCATTTTTTTGTAATTGTGTAAAACTGAAAATAACCTAAATGTCCATGTGGCAGAATTCTAAAGATGGCCTTCTCAAAATTTACATCCTGATTATTTAACCACTAATCTAGGTACTGCTATGAAGGGATTTTTAAGATGTAATTAAAATTCCAAGTGAGTTGACTTTAATATATGGATAGCCCAATCAGGTGAGCCTTTTTTTCCCCCCAAAAAAAACAGAGTTTTCTCTCTTGGTAGCACATGAGGAAGCCAGACAGATTCAAAGCACGTGGGTGATTCGACAAACTATTGCTGGTTTGTAGATGTAGACTGCCATGTGACAAGGCATGTGGACAGCCTTAAGAAAATGAGAGGGGCCCCTGGCTGACAGCTAGCAAGGAGACGAGGTACATGCATTAAAACTGCATGAACTGAATGATCTTGGAAGCAGATTCTTCCCTAGAGCCTCAGATAAGAGCTCCGTCTACTGACACCTTGATTTTGGCCTATGCAAAAACATTTTGAGCCATGCCAGATATCTGACTTACAGAAATGTGAGCTAATGAATTTGTGTTACTTTATGCTGCTATATTTATGGTAATTTTTATGCAGCAAAAGAACAAGAACACAGTCCATAAATAGAGCATGAGTAAGTAGTGTTGTATACATAAGGTATTATATGGCAGTTAAACTAAATTTATACATATTAACATGGAAGGAATTAAGTCTTGAGTAAAAAAAAATTGCAGTATGAGATGTACAGTCTGTCACTAATATAAAATTTTAAGACCCAAAACAATGCTGTATATTACTACATGCATTCTCATAAAATAGCAGTATAAAATCATGGGAGGACACACTCATTTCCTGAGAGTCATTCATTCCCTTTTGAGGAGGGTGAAAAGGAATAAGTAGAATGGAATGATGTATTAAACGGACCTCAATTTTATCTGTAATGCTTTTTTCTTTCTTTCCTATTTAACATTTGTTAAATGTTAACATTTGTTAAGTGTACGTATTTGCTACATTACTACTACTATTTTTCTATTTTTAAATACTACTACCCCCACTACTACAAATTTGTGATGCTATGTGGGCCAGATCATCAAAATAACTGATAATTATTTTTATTAAGGTTTCCTTAATGCATTCTCAATTCTACATTTCAGAGAACTGAACTTATCTTGCTTTTGCACTCTAACCAGAAAAATCAGAATTGCTTGTTTTAAAATACATTTAATAAAAATAACCCAGTTTTACATATTTTACACATGTAGAATATTTACAAATTTCTTCTACAGCATTTATTTAATGTTTACTACTTTTCCAATATTTGCCTTTTTGACTATATCCTTCAGTAGTAAAATACTGTCCAGTGTTCTCTATAACTAAAAAATTAGTTTCTTGGGTAATCCTCCTAGGTGGAAAAAAACAAATATATATAAGGTTGTTGACATTCAATCTTTTGGCATTCCAACTATATGTATTTTACTTGCTTTGATTTTCCAATACCACTTGTTAAACATTAAGCATTCAGTGTACCAGTAGGAATTTTTGAAGAGAATAGGTACACACTGATAGTTTTTGTGACTCTGAGGTATACTCAAAAGTGCCCGTATCCTTTTAAAAAGCATGATACAAGTATTCTCAATGGAAGCAAATACAGCTAAAGTGCCACATTCTATCTACTTGACACAATCTAAATTTACAAAAAGTAAATAGCTCACAATCTCCATTTCTTAGCTGCCCTTCAGTCATTAGCTATACAGTAGCTATTTGGAGTTTTCTGAATTGGTTTCTTACAAAAATGAGTTTTACCTTGTTCCAAGGCCTCTATTCTCTTCCGTTTTGTTGCCACAGGTGGATTTGGCTGCTCCTTTAAAGCTTCCACTGGACAGTTTGGTCTTGGCAGCTGACATCCAGGTGTTGGCCCTGGCCGATTACTGAAATACTTAGTTTTCAAAGCCTTTTAAAAGAAAAGATACCAAAGAAAGTAAGGCTTTAAGTGAGTATCTAAACTGTGTTTAAGAAAATCTAACCTCCAAAATTGTTGGCAGCATTAGAAATACTATGTGAATACCCCCCTCCCAAAACAAAATAATTTCAACTATTTGGACATGCAAATTACTACAAATAAACCTCTAGCAGCCTAAGATTGGCTGATAATTCCATTACCATAAGAAACAGACACTACCTTCTAATTTTTCCATAATAAAATAGACTATATTAAATATGAAATATGCTTAGTAAGGTATTGTATATTCAGCTCTCTACACATTATGGGCTCTATAATTCAAAACACAAAGAGAGAAAGTTGCTTAAAAAGAACTTCCAAGATTATCTGTCACAACCTCTATATGTATTCAAATTCCAAATCATGTAAATATAAATTCTTAAAAATAAAGCTTTTAAAAAGATGCAATAGGTTGGAAACAATGGATTAACACTCAACAATCCACTACAAATTGATAGAAATTTTACATGGAAGGACTTGCCTAAGGTTATTTCTATTTACTATCAGTCGAATGTTCTATAATATGATGTTTTCTTTACATCTGTCCAAAATTCCAATAAAAATAGTTTTATTCTAAATGACAAATTTGTCAAGTTCTTACTTTACTAGCATCACAGTACAGTTTAATAGCTAGAATAATTTAAGATATTTCCTTTTGGATAATCCTCTTAGGAAAAAAGAGAAGTCCATATAAACTTTTCAAGCATTTCCCTCCTAACATTATATTATTTACAGTAATGATTCAGAGATTCCTTACTGCAAAAGAATTGCATTTCTAAAGTATTACTTCCAAATCATAGCAGTTCCATAAGTAAATTAAGCTAATTCTGAGCTACACAGAGATCTAAGAAAGGAAGAATATCTCACTTCAACTTTAAGAGAGAGAGCCATGAGTCAATCCCATTTTAAAAAATTCATTATATCAAAATACAACCCAAATAAGTTATCACAACTAGAATTTTTTTATAGGTTTTGAGTTTTACTATTAATGAAAACAACTTTCTAGATAATCTGATCTGGTCTCAAGTTTCTTACGATGGAGATAATATGTATATACATATGGGCGAAAAGGTAACAGTGAGTTGCTTGTTTGAAATTAGAAGAGTAATTCTAATGGTAAAATATCTAGATGTATGTATTAATGTAGCATGTACTGCTAAAAAAAGAAAGCTTATACAAGTAAATGCATTAAACAATGATTTGGTAGTCTAATAAACAAGTGAAAAAGAATCCACTTTGTGTCCTTGATATATTGTGCATTAACATGTTTCGTTAGATATGAAGACTTGTGACATTTCATTTTAATGTCTCTTCCTTTATGAAGCCAAATCATTGTACTGTATTGTACTCTGCATTTCCCTGCCCTAATTTCAAGTGTTTGTGACTCTAACCTTTTTTTTGTTTGTGTGCTTGGTTTTAAAACAAAGAAAATTTTTTTTTTTTTTCAAATCTATGGGTCTTATACTTTTGTGTAAGATAACACTTCCCCCTTCTTTTATAAGAGCAGATATTCTTGGTCTTTCAAATTTTTCTTGAGTTTGATTCTTATTTCCCTTAAACAACTGTCAGTTTCAGTGTCTGTTCTATTTAGACTATCTTTCAATTTCTTGTAAGCGTAGAGTTATATCAGACTATACCATTTACTCCCCACTATCACTTTCTGACTGTAACAATGACCAGCAATGCATGCCTGGATTGCATTTTATGGGAAAAAATAAAACAAAATGCTTTTGGCATTAGGCTTGGCACAAGATTTAAATTAATACGTAGAGTTTAATTGAAATATACCAGTATCTTAACAAATACAAAAACTTTATGTTTTCCTCTCTAGTTTACTTGAAAGCCAATTAATTACAAAATAGATATATATTTATATGTTCCTAAACAAGAATAAACTCTCTTGTAGTTATGTGTGCATGATGTAATTTAATGCCAGTCTGAACAGTGCTTATAGCTTGGGAAAATATATAATTTGTTATTCCTTAAAACAAAACAAAAACACATCTTCCCAGTACTTCAAAAATGTTAAAAAGAGAATTTCATAAGATTTTCTATTTTTATCAATGCTACAGTTAAGATTATCCTCATATTTCCTAATAAAAAGAGATATGCTAAAATACCTGTGTGGCTGTAATTCGAGTACACGGATTAAATAAGAATAAGCCTTGTATGAGATCTAGCAAGTCATCTCCTGCTGCAATGAAGATGTGTTGGAGCGGGATTCCAGGGAAACTCTTAAATGTCACGAAATCAGGAAGACTACACATGTCCTGTAAAAATATGTTTATAATTCAAACTTAAGTAAAGGATTGAAAGGGATATAGGTCTCAAATAAAGAAATAAAACCGTCATATGGATGATATGATGATCTACATAGAAAATTCCAAAAAATCTATTTAAAAACTCCTAGAAGTAGTGAGTAGAAAAAAATCAATTGTAGTTCTATATACTACCAATGAACATGTGGACACTGAAATTAAAAACAATGGCATTTGGAATCACTCAAAAAGAACAATGAAATAGGTAAAAATCTAACAAAATATTTCTAGGACTCACAAACTGAAAGCTATACAACATCGGTGAAATAAATCAATGCTCTAAATAAATGGCGAGTCCTGTCATATTCATGGATTGAAAGATTCAACATCATAAGATATCAATTCTACTCAAATTGATATACAGGTTTAATGCGATTCTTACCAAAATTCTGGCAAAATTATTATACAGATAGATTATTCTAAAATTTATATGGAAAGGCAAAGGAGCTAAAATAACTTTGAAAAAGTTCAAAAGTGGAAGGAATCAGTCTATCTGATTTCAAGACTTAATATATAGCTACTTTAATTAAGACTGTGGTATAAGACTACTTTTATTAAGATTAATGGAACACAAGAGAGAACCTAGAAATAGATCCACACAAATATGCCCAACTGATTTTTGACAAAGGTGCAACGCAATTTAATGGACAGATAGTCTTTTCAACAAATCGTGCTGGAATGATTGGACATACACATGCAAAAAAAAAATCATCCTCGACCTAAGTCTCACACTTCATACAACAATTAACTCAAAAAGGATCACAGACTTAATTGCATTCTAGGAAAAGAAATACAAGAAAATATTTGGGTTAGGCAAAGAGTTCTTTGACTTGACACTAAAAGCTTGACTCATAAAAGGAAAATATTTATAAAACCAACTTGATCAAAATTAAAAACTTTTACTCTGGAAAGACTCTGTGAAGAGGATAAAAAGAAACTACAGTGTGACAGAAAGTATTTGCAAACTACACAGTATACAACAAAGAACTAGTATCTACAATATATTAAGTGCTCTCAATACTCAGCCATAAACCAAACAATCCAATTAAAAAATGGGGAAAAGACATGAAGAGACATTTCATTAAAGGTATAGAGATGGCTTACCACATGAAAAGATATTCAATACCATCAGTCATTAGGGAAGTAAAAATTAAAATCACAATGAGCTATCACTACACACCCATCAGAATGCTTAAAATAAAAAAGTGACAACACCAAATGCTGGAGAAGATGCAGAGAAAACAGATTACTCATATATTGCTGGTGAGAATATAAAATGGTACAGCCACTCTAGAAAACAGTTTGGCAGTTTCTTAAACTAAATATGCAACTACCATATGACTCACAACTGCTCTCCTGGGCATTTTCCCAGAGAAATAAAGACTTAATCTTACACAAAAACCTGTGCACAAATGTTTAAAGAAGCTTTATTTGTAATAGCCCCAAACTGGAAACAATGCAGATGTCCTTCAATGAGTGAGTGGTTAAACAAACTGGTACATACATTTCACTCAGCAATGAAAAGGAACGAATTATTGATAATACAACAACCTGGATGAATCTCCAAAGAATTATGCTGAGTGTGAAAAGAGTCAATCCTAAAAGGTTACATATTATATGATTTCATTTATAACATTCTTGAAATGACAAAGTTATATAAATAGAGAACAGATTAGTGATTGCCAGGGGTTGAGGAGGAGGTGAGAGTGGAAAGAAAGTAGGTGTGGCTATAAAAGGGCAATGTGAGGGATCTTTGTGGTCGTGTTCTGTATATTAACCGTTATCAATGTCAACATCCTGGTTATTGTACTAATTTGTCAAGATGTTACCACTGTGGGAAGCTGGGCATAGGTTACAAGGGATATCTCTCTTACTTCTTACAACTGCATATAAAGCTACAAGAATCTCAAAATAAGTTTAATTAAAAAAAAATCCAAAGGAAACATCAGTAAGCAGCTAATATTTAGAAAATCATGTCAAAGAGAAAATTACAGAATAAATATCATGAACATGGCTCTGAAGTCAGACAGACCCATATTGCAGTCCTTGCTCTGACACTGGGTGGCCTCAAGTAAATTAACCTCACTAAGCCTCAGTCATCTCATCTGCAAAAATGGAATAATAGTACTTCCTTAATAGGATTGTTGGGAGAATTAACTAATATAATTTATAAAAAGCCTACAATTAATGGCATATAGTAAGTGTTCCATAAATGATAGCCATTAGGGCATGTTTTACAATTACAACATACAGCCAACTTTCAACTAGAAAGTTGAGGAAATAACAGCACAAAAGAAACTCCTTAGACTTTATTTCAGCTTCAGATAATTTCATTACAGTTTTAACCAGAAAGTAGAGTCTGATTAAAATTTTTCTTTCTAGTATTTATTTATTACACAGGAGATGGGGCTAAAATAGGAAGGAAAATCAAAACGTCTACAATTTTAATTTAAGAATGAACAAGTAAAAATATTTTACTGAAGTGTAATATATAAAATTTAGCAACTTAAATTGTAAATTTTACCACAGACTGAATATTTCTTTTTTGTAGACAATGTAATGGGTTGAAAATAATCATAATACATCTTAATTCTGTAACATTAACATGAAACACCTTAATTGTTAGTGAAAATTCTATAGATATACCTAAATCCATAAGATGTCGATAAACAAGAAATATCCATAAAATGAAATATTATGCAGCTGTTGAAAAGGTCAGTAATAAATATTAAGTAAAAAGAGCAAGTTGGTTACAAAAAAATTATAGAGTGTGCTCCTATTTTTGTTAAAGAACAAAAGACAGAAAATGCAACTCTGTACATGTGTATGTGTTTGTGTGTGTATCTTCATAGCAACAGTTTACACCAAACACATAGCCTGGCATGGGAATTATTGGGATAAGGAACAGCTAATTTATATAGGAGGCTGGATGGTATATCACAATTTTAACTTTTTAATTTGTATAAATTTTGCAATGAGTATACATTACTAGTAAATTAAGACAATGAATACATTTCTTTAAGTAATATTCACATGACAGCACTATATAGAATCCTAACTAAATTTTACAGAAAATGTATGAAGGCTTACAGGCCACTGTTCCTCAGTGGGTGTGCCCAAAGTTTCAAATATTCTTGTTAGTTGATCAAGGTCTGAATCTCCCGGCAAAAACGGAACCTGAAAGAAAGCAAGAGGCAGATATTTCAAGGTGGTTTGCGATAGCAGTTATATAAATAATACTATACATTTAATAAGAAAAACTAAACTGTAACAAAAATTAAAATCTAGTCTGAGGTATACTGGATGTGGCATTAGATCCTGCCATTGCTAACCAAGTAAACAGCACCACATTGCCCATTTTATTCATTCCAAAACATTTACCACGTAACAGGCACTGTGCTAAGCCCTAGGTATGTAAATGAGGGAACGAAACAGTCCCATGCTCCCCTGGGGTAGACGTGGTGAACAATGGTGACACAAGTAAAGGGGCATTTACAAGATGATACGTTCAGTGAGAATAGAGGATCCTAGCCCACACAGGAACAGCACCTAACCCACTCTAGATAGGTCAGGGAAGGCTTCCTAGAGGAAGTAGCAGTGAAAGTTGAAAGATGAAGAAGAGTGAGTTAGAGGAAAAGTCTAAGATGGAACAAGAAAACTATCCTAGAAAAAGGGCAGGTGCAAAAGCTAGAGGGCAAGAGAACGCATCTATATTCCAATTTTACTTAATTTCTTGGCAAATTCTTCCCTCGGAGAGGTATACTGGCAAACTTTTTAAAAGAGGATGAATAATTACAAGTTAAAAATTAGTAAGTTGATAAGAAATGATCAAAATCCTTACTATACATAGACATTATTTTCCAATTCATTCTCAGACATCTGTTTAAATACATAAAAGAGAAAAAAAGAGTTTTCTCTGAATAATAGAGGTCTTCGGCACTACTTAAAGGCCTTGAAAAAGTTTACAGACTTGCTGGGAAGACAGGAGATTAAGTACCAGGTCTCTAACATTCTAACATGTTTATTACTGTGAACTTCTACCAGCAAAAAAAAAAAAAACAAAAAAATAGCATCAAACTCTGCCAGTTATCAATTTATTCCAAATTTACCCTTTTTGCCTTTTCTGTGAAAACGGATCCTTTCAATATTTTTCCTTTGCAAACTGAAGCTTTGCCAGTAGGGGATGCTGGAGAGACATTACAGGAAGAAGAGTTTTGCTTCCCAGTTCCAATTGGCTTGCCCAAGCAGACTCCCACGACACGCTCAGCTTCTCTGGCACTGGGTGCCTGCAGTGTGGGCAGTGTCTCCAGTGCCCAGCTCCAGCAGGGCACAGAGGCCAGTAGCTTCCCTCTAGAACACCCCGCAGGCAGTTTCATAGCAGAGTGCCTCCAAAGAAAGGCTTGCCCCTGAACAGCCTTCCTCAGCACCCAAGAGGACAGATTTCCAACATGTTCTAGAGAGCCAATTTCCAGCAAATTCTGCCAGCACGGCTCCACAGCAAGTTCTCTGCCATCCAGTGAGCCACACCGTACCCTCTTCAACAAGGTCTAGATCTCAGCCCTGGAGGTCCTCTTCCTTGGGTTCTCTGTCTCAGTCCTAGGGGTAAAGGGTGGCTGCTCCTTATATCTGCTATTCCTATATTCTTCAGAGTTCTCTTTACTTTTTTTCTGTGTGTGTGTGAGGAAGATCAGCCCTGAGCTAACATCCATGCCAATCCTCCTCTTTTTGCTGAGTAAAACTGGTCCTGAGCTAACATCCATGCCGATGATCTTCCTCCACTTTATGTGGGACGCCGCCACAGCACGGCCTGACAAGTGGTGCGTCGGTGCGCACCCAGGATCCGAACCCAGGCCACTAGCAGCCGAGTGCGCGCACTTAACCGCTACGCCACAGGGCCGGCCCCTAGAGTTCTCTTTACTTTTTATTAGTCAATCCCTCACTATTCCAATCTCTTGTCATAGTTAATAATTCTTTAAACTTCTCTCTTCAAATTAATGTGTGGTTTCTATTTTCCAATTGGATCCATACTTAATACAAGCCCTACATAAATTATATATTTATAACACTGTGCTATTATGTATATTAAATGTGCACAAAAAAATAGAAACTAGAAGGTATATTAAATAGCATTTCACAAATATTTTTAGACATGCTCACATTTTCTCCTTATACCTCAAAGGATTATCTCCTACTTTGCAGATCAGCAATGTGAATTGTACTACGAGGTCTGAAAAGAGGTACACTCATCATTATAGCCTTAGTCTTGTGGGCAAGCTTGCAAGTTTAATCAGATTTTAAGGATGGGTGTTTTTGTTTTTGTTTTTTTTTTAATTAATTTATTTATTTTTCCCCCAAAGCCCCAGTAGATAGTTGTATGTCATAGTTGCACATCCTTCTAGTTGCTGTATGTGGGACGCTGCCTCAGCATGGCCGGAGAAGCGGTGCGTCGGTGCGCACCCGGGATCCGAACCCGGGCCGCCAGCAGCGGAGCGCGCGCACTTAACCGCTAAGCCATGGCGCCGGCCCAAGGGTGTTTTTGTCTAATGTAAAAAATTTACACTAAAATGTGCTGCCTAATGTGTGAATTTTGGATCCCAATTTGAATAAACCAACTATAAAAGACATTTGTGAGAAAAACTGGGGAAATCTGAAAACAGACTGGCTATTTAACATCATAAAGGATTTATTCTTCATTTTTCTCAGATGATAATGGTATTGCAGTTATGATTAAAAAAAAAACCTTATCTTTTAGAGAAATAGCAACATATGAATAAAATTATATGATGTCTAAGACTTGTGGCAAAATAATGTGGTGTGGGAGCATACTGATAAAATAAAGTTGGCCAGGTGTTAAAAACTGTTGAAGCTGGTTGGTGGGTACATAGAGGCTGATTTTACTACTCTCTCTGCTTCTGCATGTTTGAAAATAATAAATACTAAAAAGATTTTTTTCCCCTAAAGGAAGACCTGCTTTAGAACTAGAACTAAAACTTTTAAAAAATGTTTTACTTGTATTAAATTAATAAATACACTGTGTTCAAACACTGAATAAACTCATAATAAAAATTAGTCCTTTGACCCATCACCCCTCTCTCATTCATAACTATGTAATTTTTGTTCAGTGCACATCTAATATTAAGTTTCCCTTCTTGGAAAATAATTTGGTTTTCCTAGACGGAGCAATTTCCTAGCCCTCCTCCCTCAACTCCTCCCACTGCACCCCTTTGGTAACTTAGTTTCTACCTAAGGCTAAGATTCCAGTTATTCAATATCATTCTCTACATGATCAAACCTATCAAAATCCATCAGTTCCACTTTTTCCCTAGAGCCCTCGCCTGCTGAAGTCGTCATCCCACCTGGTACAATCCGAACTAGTTGCTTTCTAGCCCTGATGCATACTTGTTTTCCTTCACTATTAAATGTGAATTCTATTCACCTCTTTCCTGTGTTGAATCTCATGTTCCCTGGATCCCACATCTCTCTCTTGATTTACTCTCATATTACAGTAGAGCACATCTTCCAATAACTTCTGAAGAAAGGAATTGGATGTAAAATTTTGGGGTAATAAATTGTATTTATTCTCACAGCTAATTGAAAATATGAATGGGCACAGAATTCTAGGTTGAAAATCATTTTCCCTCACAACGTGTTCTGTTGTCTTCCAGGTTTCAAGGTTGCTGTTCAGAAGTCTGATGCCTTTCTTTTCCCTAATTCTTTATTTTGATTTCTATGTAAGCTTTCTGTGTTTTTCTTCTCTGAGGAAATAAGATCTTTCTCTTATCCCCTGGTATTCTGAAATTTCACAATGTGCCTTGGCATAAGTCTTCTTTCATTCATTGTGCAGGGTCTTTCTGACACTTTCAATTTATTCACATCCATCAATGTCAGGATATTTTCTTGTGCATTTCCTACTCTCTATTTTCTTCGTTCTCTTTTGTTATATTCTATGATCAATCCTGGATCAATCTGCTAATTTTCTTATCTTTTGTCTACTACAGTCCATCACTTTATCTTTTGGTTCTACTTAATGAAAGAGTTTTTTAGCTTACTTTTCCAACTTTTCCACTGTTTTTGCTTGCTTTTAGCTATCCTATTTCAAAATTTTCAAGTATCTCTCATTCTTTGATTGTTCCTTTAGTAAAAGAGCATTGTATTCTTGTTTTACAGATGCAGTATATTTCTAGTTCTCTGAAGACTGGGGGAGGGGTGGATTTTCTTCTGCTACCTGATAGTTTCTATTTTTTCCAGGTTCCTTTTTTAGTTTGTTTCAGTCTGTCTTTCATATTCGACACTTTCATCAAATACATGATTGATAATCTTTGTCAATTCTCTGGTGATCCTTACATGTTGGAAGCAGTCATTAAATATCTGAAAATACTAGATAACTATCTGGAGATCATTGGCTAACCATTCATATTTAAAGGAAAGGTATTTAAAAAGCTGACTAAAAGCATTATGTCTATGAAGAGATCTTGTTAACTCATCGGCTTTAGAAAGATTGGGCAGGGAGTTTAATGACAGTTATCTGTGGGTCTGTTCTCTGGGAACATTCAGTCCTTCCAGTGAAGGATCCTCTAATCTTTTACCTGGGATAAAATGAGTTATTCACTGGCTGCCAGGGTTCTGGGAGCTAAACAGGAATATAAGTTGAAGGTTTTACTGTTCAGTGTGCAGACTTTCATGTAATCTGCATGTTTTCACCCTGGCACTCAACCCCATCCTCCACTGTGCCTAAGGATGGCCATTTCTGGAGATTCCTGCTTTAATTTCTTTGGAGAATAAACCATTCTCCAAATGGTGGGATGGATAAGCTAGAGAGAAGTATAGTTGGTGAAAGGAAGTGACATGGCTGTATTGGGAACCTTGGCATTAACTGCTCCATATACAGATTTTTCAATCAACCCTTCTGTTTTTAGTCCTGCACCTCATTATTGTCATCAATGATCCTAGGTGCCTCTCACTACTAAACAACTTTAGGATTCTGTGTGCTGAACCAAATTTACCTCTAGTTGGTATCCTTTCCTGTAGACTTTTAGCCTTCTTCATTTCTGGCTTCATATCTTCTGGCACTGTGTTACAGGCATCTGTGTTTGTTTCTTTTTAGAGACAATTTCTGAGGGGGGCCAGATTTTTGCCCTGCCATCTTTAAAATCCTTAAGATATAATTAATCGCTTTATTTAGAAATGTCTTCTTGGGGCCAGGCCTGGTGGCATAGCGGTTAAGTTCGCGCATTCCGCTCCGGTGGCCCGGGGTTCACCAGTCTGGATCCTGGGTGTGAACCTACTCACCACTCATCAAGCCATGCCGAAACGGCGTCCCATATAGAAGAGCTACAACTCTATAACTATACAACTATGCTCTGGGGCTTTAGGGAGAAAATGGAAAAATGAGGAAGATTGGCAACAGACGTTAGCACAGGGTGAATCTTCCTCAAAAAAAAAAGAAAGAAATGTCTTCTTTGAATTAAGCATCAATGCAATATTGACCAAGAAATCCACTGTCATGCATGAGCAGGTACTGGGTTCAGTATGTAACCCAAAATAGACTATTGTTTTTTTTTCTAGGGATGAATAACTATTTGTAATTTCCATTTAGTAATTTGAATGGCTAAATTTAAGAATATGTATAGCATGTAATAGCATGTATAAGCTCATAGGCAGGCAGCTCTTCTACAAACTTATTTTTTTTTTAAATGCTGATGAGTGGTGACTAGGTCTATGCCTAGGATCCGAACCAGCAAACCCTGCGCCACTGAAGCAGAATGTGTGAACTTAACTGCTACGCCATCAAGCTGACCCCTACAATCTCGGTCTTAAGAGCTAATGGTCTTACTGATCTTCATTTGTTAAATATGGAATATGGGCTAGTGGGCCATCCATATTTAACTGTACAATATTCAAGTAAAATCCACATATTACTGAAAACACAAACCTTACCACAGGACTAGCTTGTGCTTCTTCTTATTTTCTTTGTCCTGTTCTATAATAACTTCTTGGAGGATATCAGAATTTTACCAATATACTATTGTGACTAAGCATATGAATGAAAACTTTTTAGTTTTAGGAAAAAGAATCCAAATAATCCTAAAAGGAAGAGAGGTACTGAGTTCAACAGTACCAAGATAAAGGAACCCAAGAAGGATTTCTCTCTGGTGCTTTTCAACAGGACTCCACTCATGAAATTTCTTTTTAAATTGTGTTGAGATTCATCTTTTTAAAGAATTGATATTGTAGAAATTTATTTTTCCTTTCTCATGTCTTTATAGGGAGGCAGGGATCGCAAACCAAATATCAAAAAATCAGCAGTATTTTTTAGGCAATAGGCATAACCAACAATATACGTCTTGAATAACTGGAATGCTTTAGCCTCTAGTGCCCCTGTGCATCCAAAAGCCTCCACAAAGACAACTAATGGAAGCTCTGTTCTGAGCTGATACAGCCAAACTGAAGTACTGGAATGACAGAGTGCTGAAGATCAGTCATATGCCAAGCCATTAGCTCTGGATCCTCATCATTTAATTGAAATAAGAGGAGGGCAGGCAGGTGCTGGTTGATCAAACCTTTGTATCACCACATCATCTCTAGAGAAATCTCTAATGCAGGTCTGAAAGATGTCCAGCGACCTTACTGTAAGACATAAAATATCTTCCCCAAACTACACACTTCCTGTTTACAAACTAAAAGGTTGTTTTTGAAATTGTCTAAACCAGATAAAGGCAGTTGCTCAGTAGGTAATATCCAAGTTAGATATTCTATTAATCACTATCTGTCTCAAATAATGATTAAAAGACAAGAACATAAACAGATCATAAATTAAAAAGTACATTTGTGCTATTTAATGACATAGTACTGGACCTAAGTACTCACTGGTATAAATATTCGTAGATTCCTTTTCATTTAACAACAGAGAATGTTCAGAATGCAGATCAATTTGCTTTTAAAATGATTTTAAAAATATTGACTTCTTTGGTTTGATATAGGCTTACTTATTGTTGCTCCTGTTTTCTAGTTTAAGTAGTTTTTAAATTTACTTTTATAAACTTTATATAAAAGGTTGAATGCTTATAATAGCAAATCTTCTGAACTATCCTGCTTTGAATTATTACCTATTTGGACTGCAGGATCTCACCACAGATTCAGAACTGTGTGGAGAGCATTTCCATGGATCATATTTTCAAATAAGCACAGGGACGGTTTAAAACAGGAAACATTTTTCTTCAATTGTGCAGGACAAAAAATATGGCCAAATGGTAACAATTCTTCACCAGTTAGGGCTATCTGTTGATTTCTTCATCCCCTTACTAATGATTCCAGCAACAATGCCAATGGCTAACAAGACTCTAAGATTTCAACCAGATCCACAATTTCTAACCCATCTATTCTCAACGCTCTCTCTCTCCACTTACTTTCTCAATGGAGTGATCAGTCATAACATTAAAGATTGTGAAATTCTGTTTTTTTTCTTGGTCATGAATGCACTGTGCTTTTGGGAGTTGACAGATTCTCAAATATAAACTTCTGGTAAACTCTGTGTTCCTGTGAGTAGCAGAGTTGTCATGCCAGCTGATTCACAGGACCCATTACTAGCACAGGGGTTACTATGTCATCTTCAAGTCTAAACATGAGGGTTTCTTCTGCAAACACCTGGAGGGGAGAGTTTCTCAAAATGATGTATAGAACTTAACACTGAACTAAAAAAGACATTTAAGAAGGTAACTTTTCTCTCTGGAGTACACAAGCTATTTTCTGTGTTCAAGGAAATAAATAGCTATATTTTTGTGTCTTGGCTTCACATTTCTTTAAACACAAAGGCTTGAGGAGAAGGGAGAGTAGGGGCTGGAATCTGGAATGTAGCGAGAAAAAACTCTCAGATTCAGAAAATTTCCCCAATATTCCTTTGCCTTCTTTATTCAAAAGAGCTGAACTAAACTTTATAGGCAAAGAAAAGTTTCCAAGTCAGCAACTTTCTCTCCAGTGAGGGCAGGGAAAGGATGTTGGGATGTTTTATTATAAGATGGTCTTAGTCAGAAAAATGCTATAGGACCACCATATTTGCTCTGCTTGAACAGAACTAAAATGATCCTCTCACACAAGGTTTAAAGTTACACAGAGTTGCAGCTGCAGTGGTTGGTATTACAATATCTTTTAAAGTGTACTTTTAAATAGTCCCAAACAAAAAAAGTTCTAGGAGTACAAAAGTTCATCCTAACACATTTAGTTACTGTAGAGATAATACCATATTAGAACCCAATGAAGGTTTTATTATAGTTATATTTCAGAACATAGAAATGATCTATAATAAAAGCCTTTATGGCCCTAAATGGGAAGTTTTCTCATCTCACATTAGCATTAATAAAACAGTTGCATTTGGGGTAGGTGTTTTTTTTTTTTTTTCCGGTTGGTCTGTTTGTTGGCTTTTTGTTGTAAGGATGGTGCTCTTCTCTGAAAATTATCTCTAGGAAGATGACTCTTACACAAATTATAAGAATAAATACCTATAACAATATTGAAGTGTATATAGCAATTCAAGACTTACCCTTAGAAGCAACTCTGCTAATATACAGCCAACAGCCCACATGTCCACACCTACACCATACATTCTAGCTCCAAATAGTAACTCAGGGGCCCGATACCACCTGAAGAACAGAAAGAAATATTGTCATTTTAGAACAGAACTATTAAAGTATTTCTTAGAGAAAAGTGCTCAGCGAAACATCATCCCACTGATGAATTCACTTTTCTAGGTATATTGACTCAAGAAAAATTGGCTATAAACCCATGTAGTTCCACATTGCTGCAAGGAAATTATAAACATCCTTGGTCCAATCATTGTCCCACTCTTTTAGATGATTAACATCTTCTTTCAACTGAAATAAACCCTCAACACCACCTCTCTTCTCAGCTGATGACCTTGCTTCCTACTTCACTTTTTGAAAAAATGCAAGTAATGAAAAAAAATTTCTACAGACTCACCTACAGTCATTTGTACTCACACACCTGCCTTCCCATCTGCAACCACAGATGAACTACCCTTGACAGTTTTCAAAGCCGATCCCTCAACTTGGGCATTAGGTACCATGCTCTGTTGCCTATTTTTAAGGATATTGCTCCTACATTTCTCTCCTCTTTCTCCTACATCAACTTTTGATTCTTTACCAGACTTTTACTATGTATCAATGTATCAATTTTGTACATTGTATCAATGTACAAAAATACCCTTATTTCTCTGGCCTTAAAAAATAAGCTGAAAAGCAAAGAAATAAACAACAAAAACTTCTCTGGACCCTACATCCACTAACAACTACCTTCTCATTCTCTGGTTAGTCTGAAGACTTGTACGTTCTCCCTGTCTCCAATTCCTCTTCTCTCATCCTCTTAAACCCCTTCAATCAGCCTTTCATCCCACCACTCCACCAAAACTTCTCCTGTCAAGGTTATGAGTGATGTCCACAACACTAATCTAATTGTCAATTCTCAGTCCTCATTTTAACTCAAACTTTTAGTAGCATTTTATTTGCAAGAAGAGAAAATATGAGAAATTAGTAGATGAAAAGCCCTGGTATACAACGCTCTTGTACGTGGGTCCCTATTTTCCTGAGCTTCAAGAGTTCCTGAATGATGGGCTTAATCCTTCCAGCAATTACATGAACAACTACTTATATCCCTTACTTCTACTCAGGCCTCAGATGATTGATGTTCAATGAGATCTACAGGTATAGCTCATTTTATTGTGCTTTGCAGATATTGCATTTTTTACAAATCGAAGGTTTGTGGCAACCCTGCATCGGGCAAGTCTGCCAGCGCCATTTTTCCAACAGCATTTGCTCACTTTGTGCCTCTGTGTCACATTTTGGTAATTCTCACAATATTTCAAACCTTTTCATTATTATTATATTTGTTATGGTGATCTGTTATCAGCGATCTTTGATGTTACTCTTGTAACAACAATTACATGTAATTGTTTTGGGGCACCACCAATCATGCTCAAATAAGATGGTGAACTAAACTGATAATGTTGTGTATGTTCCGACTGCTCCATCGACCAGCCATTCCCTCATCTTTCTCCCTCCCTGTCCTCAGGCCACCCTATTCCCTGAGACATGTCAATATTGAAACTAGGCCAATTAATGACCCTAGAATGGCCTCTAAGTGTTCAAGTGAAAGGAAGAGTCACATGTCTCTCACTTTAAATCGAAAGCTAGAAATGATTAAGCTGAGTAAGGAAGGCATGTCGAAAGCTGAGATAGGACAAAAGCTAGGCCTCTTGCGCCAGTTAAACAAGTTGTGACTGCAAAGGAAAAGTTACTGAAGGGAATTAAAAGTGCTACTGCAGTGAACAAATGAATGATAAGAAAGCGAAACAGCCTTACTGCTGATATGGAGAAAGTTTCAGCGGGCTGGATAGAAGATCAAACCAGCCACAACATTCTCTTAAATCAAAGTCTAATCTAGAGCACGGCCCTAACTCTCTTCAATTCTATGAAGGCTGAAAGAGTTGAGGAAGCTAAAGAAGAAAAGTTTAAAGCTAAGAGAAGTTAGTTCATGAGGTTTAAGGAAACCAGCTGTCTACATAACATAAAAGTGCAAGGGGGGGCCGGCCTAGTGGCATACTGGTTAAGTTCACACACTGCACTTCAGCGGCCTGAGATTCAGGGGTTCAGATCCTGGGCACGGACCAACACACCGTTCGTCAAGCCATGCTGTGGTGGCGTCCCACATAAAGTAGAGGAAGATTGACACAGATGTTAGCTCAGGGCGGATCTTCCTCACCAAAAAGTAAAAAAATAAAAAAAAATAAAGTGCGGGGCCAGCCCCATGGCTTAGCGGTTAAGTGCGCACACTCCGCTACTGGCGGCCCGGGTTCAGATCCCGGGCGCGCACCGACGCATCGCTTCTCCGGCCATGCTGAGGCGGCATCCCACATACAGCAACTAGAAGGATGTGCAACTATGACACACAAATATCTACTGGGGCTTTGGGGGAAAAAAAAAAAGGAGGAGGATTGGCAATAGATGTTAGCTCAGAGCCGATCTTCCTCAGCAAAAAGAGGAGGTTTAGCATGGATGTTAGCTCAGGGCTGATCTTCCTCACACACACACAAAAAAAGTGCAATGGGAAGCAGCAAGTGCTGATGCAGAAGCTGCAGCAAGTTATCCAGAAGATCTAGCTAACATAATCAATGAAGGTGGCTATACTAAACAATAGATTTTTTTTTTTTTTTTGGTGAGGAAGATCAGCCCTGAGCTACCATCCATGCCAACCCTCCTCTTTTTGCTGAGGAAGACTGGCCCTGAGCTAACATCTATTGCCAATCCTCCTCCTTTTTCTTTTTTTTTCCCTTTTTCTCCCCAAAGCCCCAGTAGATAGTTGTATGTCACAGTTGCACATCCTTCTAGTTGCTGTATGTGGGACGCCGCCTCAGCACAGCTGGACAAGCAGTGCATCAGTGTGCGCCCGGGATCAAAACCTGGGCCGCCGGTATCAGAGCGCACACACTCAACCACTAAACCACGGGGCCGGCCCCAACAACAGATTTTTAATGTAGGTGAAAAAGCCTTATATTGGAAGAAGATGCCATCTATGAATTTCCTAGCTAGAGAGGAGAAGTCAATGCCTGGCTTCAAACCTTCAAAGGACAGGCTGCCCCTCCTGTTAGGGCCTAATGCAGCTGGTGACTTTAAGTTGAAGCCAATGCTCACTTACCATTCTGAAAACCCCAGGACGCTTCAGAATTATGCTCAATCTACACCGCCTATATTCTATAAAGGAGCAACAAAGCCTGGATGACAGCACATATGTTTACAACATGGTTTACTGAATATTTTAAGCCCACTGTTGAGATCTACTGCTCAGAAAAAAAGATTCCTTTCAAAAACATTACTGCTGATTAACAACGCACTTGGGCACCCAAGATCTCTGATGGAGATGTACAACAAGATTACTGTTGTTTACATGCCTCCTAACACAACATCCATTCTACAGCCCATGGATTAAGAAGTAATTCTGACTTTTAAGTCTTATTATTTAAGAAATATATTTCTTAAGGCTATATCTGCCACAGACACTGATTCTTCTGATAGATCTAGAAAAAGGAAATTGAATACCTTCTGGAAAGGATTCACCATCCTAGAGGCCATTAAAAACACTTGTGATGGGGGCCACCACTGTGGCCTAGTAGTTAAGTTCGGTGTACTCCACTTCACCGGCCCAGGTTCAGTTCCCGGGTGCAGACTTATACCACTCGTTGGCAGCCATGCTGCGGCAGAGACCCAGTACAAAATAGAGGAAGACTATCACAGATGTTAGCTCAGGGAGAATCTTCCTCAAGCAAAAAGGGGAAGATTGGCAACAGATGTTAGCTCAGGGAGAATCTTCCTCAGCAAAAACAAAACAAAACAAAACAAAAAAAACACTTGTGATTCACGACTCTGAAGAGATCAAAAATATCAACATTAGAGGAGTTACGTCAGCATCATGGGGAGTAACTTGTTCCCTCAGTCTTCCCCCTTTAATTTACAACTAAATGGACATTCATTAACTAGCAGAGGATTCCCTGCACAGCTCAACAGGACTTCTGAGAGATCCATGCAGCTATACATCTGAAGGGAGGTGGACTGGATCCCCGAGAGGCAACGAAACTAAGTAGGAACACCCCTCCCACTCCCCTTCCTTGGTGGCAGCAAGCCAGCTCACTGATCCTCACACAGCAGCCATGCCTGACTGTAAGAGGAGGCAGGGATAGCCTGGCCTGCCCAAACACTTTCGGAGTTGCAGCCCAGTGCATGAGAGTGCCCAACACACCGCGGTAGCCCCACTCGCAAGGACGCTCTACAACGAGTGGTGGCGGCTTAGTCACCATGTGGGGGCCCCTCCCCCCAGCACAACTCAGGCAAGAAGGCACCCCGTCCGCTCAGAAGGCACCCTGCACACAGAGCATAGCAGCCCAAGGGATTCACCAAGTGGCAGCTCAACACCCACGTGGGCGCCCACCACTCTTAGTGTAGCAGAGGCAAGAAGGCACCCCATCCGCTCAGAAGGTACCCCTGCATGTGGAGCACAGCAGCACGAGGGATCCACTGAGTGGTGACACAGCCCACATGTAGGCACCCCTCCTGCATAGCATTGGGCCTATGGTGCCTAACCCACCAGCCCAGCCCAGAGGCGCTGCCAGAAGAGTACAACCTGCAGAGCGGCTGCAGCCAGTCTGGATAAACTCAGAGAAGCCCTACCAGCACAATTTCAAGCAGACGGGGGTGGATCAGAAAAAGCTCCTGCCAGCCCTCTGGCAGTGGCAAGTGAAATCTGCGACCTGAATACTATCACAAATGCATTGGCAAAGGTCACTTCAACACCATACTTCAGAGAAGAAGGAGAATGACAAGACTCCAGAAACCAAACCTGAAGTCACAGAAGTTTACAATCTAAATGACAGATTCAAACTAGCTGTCATAAAAAACTCAGCAAGTTACAAGAAAACTCAGAAAGACAGGTCAATGAGCTCAGGAATAAAATTAATGACCAGAAGGAATACTTAACCAAAGATATTGAAACTCTAAAAAAATACCAAGTTCTGGATATGAAGAACACAATGAATGAAATAAAAAATAATCTAGAAAGCATTACAAAAAAGAGCTGA